TTGCCCTTATCCCAATCTTGAAAACCAGCTTGGTTTAACCAATGTGCACTAAATCTGAAGTAATGTTGCTACATAGTCGAACCAACACCAGTATCAACTAAAAGAGGGTTATGATCTGATCCCACTCTTGGTGCAGTCACCACAGTAGTTAAATCAAATCTATCTTCCCATGCATTTGACACAAGAACTCTATCCAAGACACATGATGGGAGGGTTTTGCTTGTTAGTCCAAGTGTATCTGCTCCCTGATCTATGTAACTCTCTCAGTGAAGTAGTGTTAATCATTTCATTAAAGGCATCCATCATATGTACATCAACATTACCTGTTAATTTTTCCTCCACTTTTCTAACCAAGTTAAAGTCACCACCATGCATAATAGGCAGCTCAGAGCTCAAAACTTTATTTTGGATTTCCTCTAGAAAATCTAATTTCCTCTCATCATGAGCAGGGCCATAAATGTTTACCAATATCCATTGGAAACCATCAGACTTCGTAGTAAGTGTACAACTTTGAAAGAACTCTCCTTTACCTTCATTAGTAATAGTTGCCAACTCCTTGTCTATCCCCATTAGCAGTCCACCAAAATGGCCAGAATAGGGAAGCCAAGACCAATGCATATCTTTTTGTCCCCCAAATTTATCTAACTCTCTCTGTTTGAAAGCAGTCTTAATAGTTTCTTGAAGACATACACAGTCAAATGAATGTTTATTGACTAACTCTAATAATAGCTTTCTTCTCCCTACATTCCCCAACCCCCTTATGTTCTAGAAGAGGATCTTCATCCTTGATCCACAGATAATAAATTACCTTCATCAAAAGCTCTGTCCCCTACAAACTCTAAATCAAGGGGGTATTGCCATGCAGTACTCTCATCCACTGTCTGATCTCTATCTTCTGTAGAACTCGGCAATTTTTTTGTTTTGTGTTCAAAAGGGCAGCCATTGCATCCTCTTTGGCTTGAATCAGGGAGATATTTGTAATTCTAGTGGCTTCCTCATTCCCCAAAGAAAAGACACAAACTCTAGCAATTGTGTCTATGGAGCATGAAGTATCAGAAATAGGTAGGGTGGAGGAAGAAGTAATACCTTTGGAAATAGCTTTCCTAGCCATGGCCTTCTCTTGGACAAGCACATCTCTATCTTGGAGTCTTGAGCTTTGTCTGGTACAATTGATTGACACCTTGATGGGTTCAAAGGGAACTAGAACTGGATTAGGCATATGCACTTGGCTAGGTTGAGAAGACAAATTTGGATCAGCTTGCATAAAGTTAGAGAGCTTCCTCACTAGCTAAGACGGTATCAATTGTTGTAGCGCTACCGTCTACTTTGGGTTGACACCAGAAGGACTCATCCCCACCGCATCTCCAACTATCTCATCAGTGCCAACAGTATTGACCACATGACGTAGAGTATCAGAACTTAAAGTGAAACTCTCAACATGATTGTGCAGTAACTTGGCCACTGGGGTCCCAACCTGATTAGCCCTTGTATAAGTTACTAGCTGCGTAGCTTCTAATTGATCATTGATAACTGAAGAGTTACTGTCAAACATAGCTTCCATAGCAGGAGAATCTAGAGCTGTGATCGAACTCTTTGGTGATGAAGGATGAGGTAAAGGCACCTCAGAAGACTCCTCACTCACCCCTTTGGATGTTTGCCCCTCAACTATTTCAGAACCTTTTTGATCAAATGTTCCATTTGGATTCAACTTCCTTGCCAGCTCAACCATCTCCTGAATTATATCTGTAGAATACATCAAGCCCTGACAGCTCTGGATATTAGCATCTGAGGCTTGAGATGTAGCTTCCTCCACTGCACTATTATTGGTACTAGGGTCAGCCAAATTGGCTTTCTTACCCTGGTACTCAGATGGACCAGCTCCATTGTTGTTTGAAGGCCCTTGTGGTGGTGGGTTTCCAGACTCCAACCAACCATGGCTCTCTTGTTATTCAGGGTCATCCTCATTAGTGATATCATCCTCCTTATCATCCAAGTCATCATCATCAGGCTTAGAAGGAGGGAATTTCTTCAACTTATCAGAGTAATACCGAGTAATCCTTCTACCCTGTTTGTTGATAAAGACCTCTGAAGTACAACCAATCTGATCAGGGTTCTTGCATGAGACTTTAACCCAGACCAATCTCCAGCTTAATGATGGTAGATGCACCTCTTCAGGATCCCCTACCAACCAGGACAATTCTACTACGACAAATTCTAAATGAGCATTGTTAGGAATCCCAATAGCTCTAACCCACACATATTGAAGAACTTGAAAAACATTAGGATCCATTGTTGATTCCTCTACAACAGCTAGAATGTCAGCAGTAATAAACTTAATCTTCCCCATCTTGGTAAGTATATTCATAACTGCCTTGGATGGAATGTTAACCATAAACTCACTCCTAGAGATGTGTTTCACATTCTAATCCCACTTAGAGTCCACTAGATACTGTAATTCAGTTTTAATTCTTGCTTGAGTGCCTCTCCCTTCTAAAACAGACACAAGAGCTCTAATTGGGGATTCCGAATCAGCTTTACCATCTGCTTTGGTTTCTGGTACATCTAGACAGTAAAATTTTTGCCCTGGCAACCCATATCCACATAGTCGTAGGCCTTTAGACTTCATCAGAGGGCACTGAGCAAACTTATGACCAGTATCTCTGCAACTATAACAGAACAGGGGCCTTTTGCAAGTATTTCATAGGAAGGCCTGAATACTGACCTGATCCTGACTCCCAATTCTGTTGTTGGTTGAAACCCCTCCTGCGATCTTCAATCTTGTGTCAAAGGTCCTCCTCCGTCATCTGCCTTACATCCCGAGCCTCTTGAACATCGCCTGCGCGCTTGCGACCTAGGAAATCCCTTGGGTCATGATCTCTAAACAACTGGCGATTCTGGCGTTGATCTCTTTCACCTTGCTCCTGGTAATCCCGACGCCCACGACCATCCTGACCTTGGAACGACTCACGGATGTCACGACGTTGATCTTGGAAGTCATCGCGCCTGTCTCTAAAGCGATCCCCCTCCCGGACCTCCGTAAAGCGCTCACCATCTCTGCTATCGCGTGACTGGTAGGGCTTTCTCTCCATAGATTCTTTGGCTACCTCCATGAAGGACTTCTCGTCGGTAGTGGTGGGATGCACACAACGAAGATGTTTTGCTTGAGCTCCAAACTGTCTAATGTCACTCACACTCAGCCAGGAATCGCTCCGCCGTCGGGTCCCAAACCCTAGCGACGGCGACCCCCAACGATGGCGATGGGTCTTAGGCTGGGGGCGACTAGATGGGGGAATGTAAGAGTGAGAAAATAACTCCTCTATGGATGGGCCATAGTAGGCCGGCCCAACTCCTTTACCTTTCTCAGCCTTTGTGAACTTTCTTGAATTTTGGGATGACCTGCTTGCCCCCCGCCACCCTGCTTCAGCACAGAAGACGCGTTCCTCTGCTCCAGCAATGGCGGCTTCATCCTTTGCAGTATCTGTTCAGTTGATCTTATGCATTCTAGCTCCCTAGTACCTATCGGCTCCTTGCCAGCCCAGGAGAACTGAATCGGAAGATTACCCACAGTAATCGAACGCGAGTCCACATCTACGATCGGAGGAATTTTGTGGTGTTTGAGCCTATTCACCCTGGTCGGATCATCGGGCTAGGAATGTTTTGGGAGTCCCAACGCCACAGTGGGGTTCTTCCTAGCCGAACTCAAAGGTGGAAAATGATCCGCATTCAACCAATCGTCCAAATCCATCTCTAACAATTCAACATCTGACTGAACTTGCTCTGACGATATGCCCTGAAAACGAATATCTGTGTTTCTACAGAATCTCGATCGAAAGTCACCCTGATTGGAGCCCAATTGCTTATGATTCGAACTCCTAGAACTATGAGGCGATAGCGCAAATGGGGGATAGGCAAGGGTTAACCTGCGATTCCCCATCAGACCTGGAAGAATTTGGTAGTGAACAACACGACAGGAACTAACTCTGAGAAATCAAGCTCAATTGCAACATGCAACCGAGACAAACATGCTTCAGCAAATATGGCACCCGCGCCGGGGGACTCCCCCACAAGCCCCGGCAGAACCGCACGTAGAGGAGACGAGATGAGAAGATACCACGGTGAATCGAAGCAGCGTCGAAACCCGAGTCGAGTCTCCTCCTTTTCGTCGAAGATGACCCCCGGGATCGCCGGAGTTGAAGCGTCTGTTCCGCCTCTAAGTCGCCTCTCCCCCTCCTAACCTTCAGAATCGGTCTGCCATCCCGGTCTAATACCGTTGTAAAAAAAAAATCGTCTAACCAGTAAGACAAGTATCGGACAGTGGCCAGTTGTGCCGCTGCTCTCGCCATGAGTAACGGGCCAGGAACAAGCTGAATGGCTGACATGTTGCACTACGAGCTTCAAATTTATGCGCAGGTCCATCTCAGATGTCCAGAATTCAAGAAATTTAAGGAACAATTTCTTAAAGGAAAAGAAAGGCGTGTACCGAAGGAGTGCATCCCTTGTGCGAAAAAAAAGCAGCGGACAAAACGATGAAACAAAATTTGACGATTTATCCAAAACATACAGATTAGAAGCCACAAATGAGACGCCATTGCTAGTAATTTTTCAGCAAGTAAAGACCATGTACGAGTACTACAGATTAGAAGCTTATGAAATATCACACAATCTGACAAGGGACATGAACTTCAAAATTATTTTCAAAGCGACAAGAAAAACAGATGACAGTCACAGTGTAGATTCCATATCTCAGATGCTTAACTAGCATAGGCCAAAAAGCCTGCCAGTGGCATCATGGGTAGCAACTCTTAAAGGATTAACCATAAAGACCACATAAATCACTGTGGAAACTATCTGGCAGTGGCACCATGGATATTGCTCTTCTTTAGAACGAAACCTGAAATGCTGCCTAAATTAAATAGTAGATTCAGATAACCAGATAACATAACACAAAATGCCTTCAACAGTTTGTAGGTGAATTATCCCTGCGGTAAGACTCAAGCCATTTAGTAGCCCATGATGTCGATATCACTATCAAAGGGGTCAGGTAGAGCATTCACAGCCTCTATACTGAACCTCTTGCGATGGACAACTTTCAGGCCCTCGAACACGACTTTGGCTTCCACAGAGGCCCTGTGGCATTGAATGAGATTTTGCTGTTCAGTAATCCATGCAGGGGTGTTGGACATGGCAGATTGAATCTTCATGATCTGCAGCACCTGTGCATTCGCAAGGAGAAAACACACAAATTCAAACATGTTTTGCTCCTCAACTTCGCCTATTAGGTTCTTAACTTTGCTTTCCAGCCTCACGGTCTTGAGATGGTTAACAATACATCCAATGGGTTCATTCTTCTGGTAGTAGCCGAAGTCAATTGTGTCAACCTGGCGTTCCCCGGGCTTGCCCTTTTACACAAAAATGAAGAATCAGAGGAAGTTCTTTGCGATGTTTAGCTAATGAGTAAAGTCCGATTCACCCCTAACTAGTCGTTGAATTTGAAAGACCCCCTCAAACTTGAATAACGGACAACATACACACTTCAACTTTAAAAAAAAAACCCAACAAAATACTCCCTTAACCATTTCAAAGTGGTTTTTTTGGTGGTTTTGCGGATGTGGCAGTGGGACCCACCTGTCAATTGGTCTCTCTTTCTTTTATATAAAAAACATAACCTTTTCATATGAAGTCATATGAATACAAACTTCATACCAAAGTTGTAGATCTCGACACGATCTACAAATTTGTAGTTGATAAATTTTTTATTTAATATATTTTAGCAGCTCAAATATTCGTTTTAAGTTACCAGATTTTAATTTTTTTTTAATTTGTCAAATGACCTCAAAATCTCAAATGTTGACATAGTCTATGCCAAAGTTGTAGTTTCAAGCAAGATCGACAATTTTGTAGTTGACAACTTTTTTATTTCAGACTGTTTAGAGGCCCAAATATTCATTTTAAGTTTTGTAACTTTGAAATTTAATTTATTTTTGAATTTTTCAAACGACCTCAGATGTTGACGTGGTTTACACCAAAGTTGTTCCTCTCAATATGTTCTACAACTTTGTAAAAAAGGGCGTACCTAGTGCAGAGAGCTCCCGCTCTGTGCGGGGTCTGGGGAAGGGTGTCAGTGGCAAGCCTTACCCTCGCCTGTGCAATGCGAGGAGACCGCGACTCGAACCCGGGACCTTCCGGTCACAGGAGGTAAGACTCTATCGCTTGCACCAGGCCCGCCCTTCATGTTCTACAACTTTGTAGTTGATAACATTTTTATTGGGGACATTTAGAGGCCCAAATGTTTGTTTTAAATTCTCAGATTTTGAAATTCAATTTCTTTGATTTTTTTCAAGCAATAAAAATATGGGCATCTAAACAATCACAAATAAAAAATTTGTCAACTACAAAGTTATAAATGTTAAGAGCTACAACTTTGGTGTAGACCACATATCAAAGGTCGTTTGCAACATTAAAAAAGAAAAATCAAAATTAGAGAACTTAAAACGAATACTTGGGTCTCAGATAAAAAATCTGTCAACTACAAAGTTGTAGATTTTACTGGAAACTACAACTATGGTATAGACTATGTCAACATCTCAGGTCCTTTGAAAAATTCAAAAACCAAAATTTAAAATCCGGTAACTTAAACCGAATATTTGAGTCTCTAAAATGTATTAAATAAAACAAATTATCAACTACAAAGTTGTAGATTGTGTCGATCTCTAGAACTTTGATATAAAGTTTATAGTCATATGACTTCATATGGAAAAGTTGGACCAAAGACCGGTGGGCCCCACTGCCACGATAACTGAAGAAACAATTTTGAAATGTCGGCAAGGGGGATGTTATTTTGTCTGGTTTTAAAAGCTAAGTTGTGTATGTTGTCCGGTATGGTAGTCCAAATTCAACAACTAGTTCAGTGGGTGAATCGCACTTTACTCTTACCTAATGGATAGTACACACACCAACAAAGCAATTGGCAATGGGTGGCAACCTCAAGCTCTAATTACCTGGATATGCAATGTCTCCAGGAAGGAAAAGCACTTGAGCAAGTTCATCGCCGTCGCCATGTCCTTCTTGCTCGAGAATGTCATGCTTATAGCTAGAATCTTCACGCTATTGAAAGGAGCACGCAGTCCCTTGTTAACCTTCTGCAATGTACAACTGAGCGATGCCTCATTTAGGCTCAGCTATCCAAGACGACGAAGGAGAACGACAATGAATTGAAATAAGGTAACTACCTCCTCAACAGAAGGCTTGTCGATGCCATGGAAGAAATTCCGGAAACCAACCACCAGATAGCCAAAAGCAGTAAGCTTTGGCGCGCCGATGATGGTGACCGACGCTCCCAGATGCACGTCGCCGAGCAGACACTCCGGGCGCAGGGCGTCCTCGACGGTGAGCTCCTCTAGGTGCTTGTAATGCCACACACCGAACAGCACGAGGCTGCGGCAAGAAGTGATGCGGATGCGGCGGGGGCCCTGGATGTGCCTGAAGATGACGTTACGCAGCGCGGGGCAGCCAGACAGCAGGCTCTGGAGTGCAGCCTCGGAGATGTGGGTGCGAGAAAGGGAGAGGTCCGTGAGACGGGATGCGGAGGCGGCGGCGGCCCCGGCGTCGGAGAAGCGACACTCACCGAGGGCGAGGGTCTCGAGCGTGGCGGAGGTGAGGAGTGGGTCGGCGAGCGCGCGGTGGCACCACTCGGGCGGGCAGATGTGCGAGACCTCGCGGGCGCGGCGGTCGCCGGCCGTGAGGCTGCGGAACCAGGCCTCCGCGGCGGGGACGCGGGCGCGGAGGGTGGTGCGGGCGAGGCGGAAGCGCGTGACAGGGCCCGGGTGGGAGGCGAGCGCGAGGGAGACGGTGTCGGCGCGCGCCGCCCAGGGTGCTCCCGACACCGACGCGGCGCGGGCGATGGAGGGGCGGGGCGCGGCGGGAAGCTCGAGGTCGTCGAGGCGGAGCGGGGTCCCACGCCACGCGTCGCGCCAGCGAGGGGAGAGCACGGCGGTGCGCGCGGCCTCGGCGGTATCGAGGCGGGAGATGATCGCTGAGAGGAGCTCAAACGGGAGGTTGCTGATAAAGTCCTCGCCGCCGACATCGCATCGCGGCGGCAGCGCCATCCCGCCGCCGGGATTTTGCGGAGGTTTGGGCGGAGAGGGTTTTGTTCACCAGCCGGTTGTTTATCAGTTTGGAGACTTCGGAGGAAAGGAAGTGCGGACTGGTCTGTGGAGATGAACGGGCTACAAGTTGGACTGAGCCAGTGACAGTGAGCTGAATCGGGTTGTCGGCCTGTTGCGCGCTGCATAGACAAACTGGGTCCGTATGGGCTGTCGGACTAGAAATATATTTTTAAAAATATCTAGAAATTATAAAAAATAAATTTTCGAAATGTATCCAAATATTATTACATAGAAAAGTAATACAATTAAAAATCCTAAAATCTGGTTTAATCTCAGAAAAATAATAGGAATGTAGTTTTAGCTGAGAAAACTATGGAACTAGTTTCAATTCTAAAATCATGTTCTATCCTAAAATCTTTTTTAATCTTAGGAATCTTGATGGACATAGAAGCTCTCGTTATCTAATAGTATAATTAGTCAATGTTGACGTAGCAGGTTAGGAAAATCACCATCAAAACCACATAGGGTGTAAAAGTCAGACGACCGCAAAAGTTAGGGGAGTGAAAAGTTCTTTTTCCTACTCCCTCTGTCCCAAAATAAACCAATTCCATAATTCACTCTAATTCAAACTATATTAAGTTTGATCAACTTTATAGAAAAAGGGTAATAACATCTATGACACCAAATAAGTATATTATAAAAACATACTATGATATATCTAGTGATACTAATTCGGTGTCATAAATATTAGTGTTTTTTTCTATAAAGTCAGTCAAATTTGAATAGTTTGAATCAAGATAACTCAAAAAGTTAGATTCTCTCTCTAAAAAAGTAAGATTATCTTTTTGTAATATTCTAATTTAATATACAAATTGTACAAATGCACTATCAATGAGTCATGGACCCAGAGACGAGGAGGGATGGTAATCGATATAAATCCAATGGATGCTACACCCTACTGTATATGATAGATTGTATCCATTACACCCGGTCGAGGGTACATATCCTCATCCATATACCCATGCCCATATTAGGTAGTCGATATCTGTAGGTATGGATGAAAACGGTACGGATATTTATTCGACCGTCCGTTCGATCGAACAAATATGAACACTTATCTGGATAGTTACTCGGATATCCGTTTTTTTTTTTCGGATACGGATACTAAAACGGATATCTTAGGCGGATATCAAATACGGATGTAATATCATCGATATCCGGCGGATATCGGATAATCCGGATAAGTATCGGATATATCCGGATATTTAAAAACGGATATTATCCGGATATTTATTCAAAATTTAAAAATCACAAATTTGAACCATCCAAACTATCTCAAATGGAAAGTTGACCAAAACAACAATTGTAGATCTTGATGAGTTGAACAAACTTGGTATTCAAAACTTTTCAATTTGAAGTCATTTAGACTTCATAATACTAGAGTCAAAGTGTTGTTTTTTCATTTGACCAAATTTGACTTGGTCAAACTTGCTCAAATGAGACACTAAATGACCTCAGATGAAAAAACTCTGAATACCAAGTTTGATCATCTCAGCAAGATCTACAATTGTTACATAGCTCATTTTCCCATTTGAGAAAGTTTTATCAAACACTAGTCATAAATTCTTGAATCTCATATAGACTTTCTGAAACTATGTCACACACTTGTGAAATTTGAACTACATTTTGTTCAAACTTTCTCAAATGAAAAAATAGCCTATATAAGGATTGTAGATCTTGATGATCTGAACAAACTTGGTATTCAAAACTTTTCAATTTAAGACAATCTAGGGTTCCGAAAACTAGTTTGTAAGCATTGAAATTTAAAAATCACAAATTTGAACCGTTCAAACTATCTCAAATGGAAAGTTGACCAAAACAAGAATTGTAGATATTGATGAGTTGAACAAACTTGGTATTCAAAACTTTTCAATTTGAAGTCATTTAGAGTTCATAATACTAGAGTCAAAGTGTTGTTTTTTCATTTGACCAAATTTGACTTGGTCAAACTTGCTCAAATGAGACACTAAATGACCTCAGATGAAAAAACTCTGAATACCAAGTTTGATCATCTCAGCAAGATATACAATTGTTACATAGCTCATTTTCCCATTTGAGAAAGTTTTATCAAACACTAGTCACAAATTCTTGAATCTCATATAGACTTTCTGAAACTATGTCACACACTTGTGAAATTTGAACTATATTTTGTTCAAACTTTCTCAAATGAAAAATAGCCTATATAAGGATTGTAGATCTTGATGATCTGAACAAACTTGGTATTCAAAATTTTTCAATTTGAGACAATCTAGGGTTCCGAAAACTAGTTTGTAAGCATCAAAATTTAAAAATCACAAATTTGAACCGTGCAAACTATCTCAAATGGAAAGTTGACCAAAACAAGAATTGTAGATATTGATGATTTGAACAAACTTGGTATTCAAAACTTTTCAATTTGAAGTCATTTAGAGTTCATAATACTAGAGTCAAAGTATTGTTTTTTTCATTTGACCAAATTTGACTTGGTCAAACTTGCTCAAATGAGACACTAAATGACCTCAGATGAAAAAACTCTGAATACCAAGTTTGATCATCTCAGCAAGATATACAATTTTTACATAACTCATTTTCCCATTTGAGAAAGTTTTATCAAACACTAGTCACAAATTCTTAAATCTCATACAGACTTTCTAAAACTATGTCACACACTTATAAAATTTGAACTACATTTTGTTCAAACTTTCTCAAAATGAAAAAATGGCCTATATAAGGATTGTAGATCTTGAATCCATGACCATGACTCCATGAGACCCATGAAGCAATGTGCTTGGCTATTTCTACTCATGCTGCGAAGATTGGTGCTTATATGATGTTTGATGTATGATGTATCTGTATCTTTATCTTATTTGTTGCTTTACTCTTTAGTCTTTCGGCTTAATCTAGATGGATTATGGACTCATAGAGTGGTGTAATGGTTTGCGCACGTATGATATATATATATATATATGCTGCTTTTATTCAATATCCGAATAGATATTTGTATCCGACCTTCTCCGAATCCGATTCATACCGTATTCGATACTCATTATTCGTATCCGTAACCGAGTCAATCCGTATTCGTATATGTATCCGAACGCTATCCGTGTCCGAATCCGAATCCGAACAGAAATATGAAAACAAATATAATATGAGTGATATCCGTTCGTATCCGATCCGTTTTCATCCCTACCTGTAGGTTGCTCATACTAGAGAAAAACTACAACATTACCATTATCAACACAGGAGCAGACATAATTTCAGTATATGTCATTACGACCATATGAGCTAATAATATATATTGAGTATATGTCATTACGACCATATTAATAAGCATATCAGAGAGAGTCATATAAAGTCATGCATCAACGCAACTCAAGTTCATTAGCTCATAATAGAACACTATTCAATAATTTTTAAGTTTTCAACTACAACTCAATTGAGGACATAAAAAACCAACTCATCTTAACACCAGATAACTAGATCAAGATCACAACACCGCATATAACAGAAGGTTTGCAATATTATAGATTAGGCATAAAGAATAACACAAAATATCAGGATAGAGGATTTTTTTTACACAATTTGGAAGTTTGTGTAAAATATAACCATACCCGTATCCACCTATCCGACGGGTATGGCATTCTATCCACTATGAAACCAACAGATTTAGAAATTAATTCATCCATACTCTATTGGGATAAAAATTCCATTAGATTTCGATACCCATTTGCCGTCTCGTTAGACGGCTTCGTTTCTGATTGCTGCATAGCCGCTGTGTATGGACAACTGTTGCTGCTAACATGAACAGAGCCGTAGGTAGGGTACACAGAGCATATGCACGAGACGTAGTTACGCAGACGTCACCGTATTGAAAAATAAAGCACAGCAGCACGCCGAGGTTTGGTATGGTAGCAGTTAGCAAAAGACCAGATTTTCACTGGCTTATTAACACAGCTAAGCAGTATAACGTAAATGATTCATTCAGAGAGATCAATGATACGATGCCTACTGATGCCATATGTACAAAACCACATGGCGTGCGCGGTCCATTTCCTTCACCAGTCACTCTGAAAGCGAGAGCTCATCGATAAGCTAACCTATCCACCTGAATAGCTGATCGTCCTGCCACGCGGTCTCGAGTGACGACATCCGGCAGCATCGCGCGTGGTCGCATCTCGCAGTGGTGTCAGGCCACCAGCAGTACATCCCTGAAGTTCTTCCCCAATAACCGCTGTTGTGCGGTTGTGCGCCCTATTCGTCCTCTGCACCTGCAGGTGCATATACGACGGCTGTTCTGCTGGGTGCATAGACCGAGAAAGAACACGGCCTGTTGTCATGCGGCCAGTCCTGTAATAAGCATCAGAAAATGGGTCGTTATCTTAGATGATGTAGGGGGGCAATAAAATAAGAGAAGCAGACTGTGTGCCGCAATACTCAGAACCAGGACTTACAGCAGTGAAGTACTCAGCATCATGATCAAGCCGACTAAATCCAAAGAAAAGGCCATCGTCAGAATCTAACACGATCTGACAAGGAAAAAAGAGAAAAGCCATCAGCATCCAGCACAACACATTTGTGTCCCCAAGTGGGCTGATTTGAGTACATTTTGGAAACAAATTTCAGTATTACAGAGTTCGATGAAGAAGTAGATAGAAGTTCATAATTTAGTGAAGATAAAAATAAATTATAGGAGTGCTAAACTGCTACATGGCTACAGACCACATAATCTCCAGCAACAGATTTATCCATGCTGGAAAAATATTGTTAGAACCCCAACAGTGATGAAACATGCTGATGTGTTGGTGTGTGTTTTGTAACTGGGTATGGGCTACCCAAACCCGTTTTTCTACCTTAATGAAATGACGCGCAGCTCTCCTGCGTAGTTCGAGAAAAAAAGGTTGGATAACGAAAATACAGATGCATGCAAAAGAGTTGCATACCTTGTACTTCCCAGGCTTGAAACAACCAACACGATAGTCAAAATAGCTATTGCTCCAGTGGAAGTTGAACACAAAGACCAAATCTCCTCTCTCGAAGATGATCACCTTATCCTCCTCATGTTTCCGTGATACATATGAGTGATCAGATGTCATGAACTGAAATCATATTGCACATTTCATCAGTAAAATGCACCAATCACCCTCCTACAGAGAGAAATTCCATATCCTCCTCTCCAGCAGTTTTCCTCAATTTATTAATTTGTTTTAGACTCCCTACTAATATAAAAAAATTAACGAGATAGAAATTCAACAGCGAGCCTACCCCAACTTGCGTGGGACTAGATGCTTTGTTGGTGTTGTTGTGTAGAAATTTAGTGGTAAGTTATTGTGCAACAGAGATAAACCAGTGACATACTTCATATTTTCCCTCAAGGTGTTGCATTGCCTGATCAAACTCTTGCATACCACGATATCTAAGATAATCTGCATCTCCCTAGAAAAAAAAAGATGGATTAAAATTGTATTCAACAACAATGATAACATATGGTAGTATTAGCTTATATAGAACATTCTTGATCTTTCCCAAGCAAGATTTACCAAGAAATATGTGGCCAATCCAGATATGTTGAAAGAATATAGTAGCACAGTTAAACTTACAAGGTCAAATCTACGACGGCATTTATCAAAGCTATAGTTATTCCCAGGAATGACAGAGCCATTTGGAAGACTTTGAGGACCTCTTGGAAAATCTATCCATTCTGCCACGTAAAATGAAACTAGTCATAACTTCCTCCTCTGATGAAGTAGGCTACATGCCAGACAAAGAAGAAACACATTATAACTCGTAACTATGCAACATGCAATAAAAATGAAAAGACTAACCGGGATGCCCAAACTCATTTCCCATGAAATTTAGATAGCCTTCACCTCCTAAACCCATTGTGACAAGCCTAATCATTTTATGTAATGCTATCCCACGATCGATTTGAGGTGTTGAAGGCCTGTCCAGAGCCATGAAATCATACATATCCTGCAGGAAAAGAAGTCGAGATGTTCATGTCATTCTGTTCTATTGTGAACCAGCAGTTTACAGCACAATACTACACTTCTGCATGTACTGAGTATCAACAATATGTGATGATATTTAAGTGGAAGTGTGCTTTTCTAGGAGAAACCAAAAAGCATAAAAAAAATTATCTTCAATGTGCAACCATAGAAAGCCCTTCAATACTCTGGGTAACTAAAGATAAAACATACAAGGACACATTAATGAATAAACAAATGCTGTTTACTAGCTCGCTGTAGCTTAGCCCGTTGTTGCTTTTACTCCCTCTTGTGGTAGTAGCCGGGCTTCGTCGTAGTTTTCCTTAGTTTTTTCGCTTCTGTTTTTCTTCTTTCTCCTCGCCTGGGAAACCTTTGGTTACCTAGTGTTGAGCCGTTTGTTGTTTGGTTCGGTGTTGTCTACTTCCTCTTAATGAAACACGTGCTACACGGCACGTTCGAGAAAATAAACAAATGCAAGATGGAACACCTAAATGTCCTTTGGTCAAGAAGTCATCAAATAACACAGATCATAGTTCCAAATAGCGGGATTTAGCGTTTGGGAAGCTCCACCGCTAAGCTATGTCACTTTTGGCGCTAAATGGAGTTTGCCGCTAATAGCGGCTAAAAGCGCGCTAAAGAGCGCTAAAACGGAGGCATCATAGCGCTGCTATCAAGCCAAACTCAGCATGAGCTTTTAGCACCGTCCGGCCCAAATCACACACCAGCCCAAAACCACTCAAGACGCGAGGTTTTCTTCAGACGACGGTGGCGGCTGCTGCTGCTGCTGCTGCAGTTGGCGGCGGTCCCAGCACAAGTAGTTGCTTCGACCGGCGGTGGCGGTCCCGACGCGAGGATTTGCTTCGACCGTCCGCTGCTGCTGTTGCTTCTACCGGCAACTTCCTTCTTCCTTTCCCGCTTTAACACTTCATTAATTTGCTTCGATCAACAACACATTAATGCTGTGAATGCCTGGATTTACTTAGGTCCAGTTTGGCAACTTAGGATTTTTTTTGTACTGCGCTACTACTGTTGGTATTTAGCCTCAGCTATCACTTTGTTCTGCACATGTCTTCATCTTCTTATGTTTATTATGTGCAAAATTACCTGATGTTTGACATATTTTTTGCTCAGTCACTAAATGGCTTAGCCCGCTATAGCCTTTCTTAGCCTTTGGGAGAGGCAGCCGCTAAGGGGCTTAGCCCGCTATTTAAAACATTGACACAGATAGATCTTATGTGTTTCTCCTGATAATATTAGTTTAGCTATTTCCTTTAAATAGGAGGGAGCATAGCGCCTCGACCAGTAGACCTACAAGATCTACGCTCAAGGGACTCCTAGATATTTCAGAAGCAGTTACAAAAAACAGATCCAGTTGGCAAAAACTGCAACCAGATTGATTTTAATTGGGTAAAACAAATTTCTGGTTTCTCCTCAGCTATCAGCATAAACCAATCTGATAGTTTTGATTGAAGCTGCCAATTTGCAGAGTTATCATTGGTGAGTTGAACTCATCCTTGCCCTGTTTTCTGTAATGACTTTCTTAGCAAAATATTTGATAGATGATTCATTAGTCAGTTAAGTTTTACTGACTGAAAAGTATTTGCAAGAAGATGTGTGTGTTCAACTGATTAGCAAATCACCATACACACTGCTCTTAGCAATCATTGCATTAGTATCAAGTAACGTGCTCAGTTTGCCCATGCGACCAATGACTAGTGAACGAACAAATCACTATCCCAAGAAAGACAAGTGATCTGATAGAAAAACATGAGTAACAGCTAGTACCTTATCCATCAACCAGAATGCAATTGTCTTGTCACCAACTAGAGCTTGATCATGACTTTCACAATAAGTGACACACTTTTCTAGCCACCTTCTATTTGTTAAGGTGTGCACGATATCATCCATTTTCCAATATTCATCACTTTGCCTGTGGTAATAGAGAATGTTGAAATTTGATCATATCATATGTTTATTTGGAACTACCCAGAATATGTATGAGGTACTAACATTCCAGCTCAAAGTAGGAAATATGTACATGAAGGACACATATTTTACTTGTCACATAAAATACTGGCATGGTCCCAATACACCTTTGACCATTGCATGCTCTGATTGTCGTTATATCTAAAACTAAAAAATATTATAGACATAATGATAAGGAAGTACTAGCTTTTCCATTTGATGATAATTCTACTAATATCTTTTCCCTGCGACAAACCTAAAGCATTTTTTTTAGATATTTGGGGCAAAAAGATTAAACGGCGACTACATGTGTTTTGGGACAATAAAAGAGAATGAAGGTACTATGTTATTGACACTTCTCATATTGAACCTGATACCACAAATATCATCTAAAGAATAACATAAATGTAGACTTGAATCAATTAAGAACTCAAATATACCATTTTGCATATGTAACCACTAATATTCGACCACTTACTTCAGAAGTTCAATCCATTTGTCTGGGACAGCCATATGAAGGCGATAATCAAAACCAACACCACCATCTTGGACAGGAATACAAAACGTAGGCATTCCGCTGACCTGAACATAATTAGACAAGTTGAACAATGAATGCTGAAGATCTGGCTGAACCTCCTATTTGCATGCGACTGTCATGTTGATGTTCAAAAGCCATATTTTTAGAACCTTAAACCCACAGAAGTTTAATAATACTGGTATAGGCCCAGGCATGTGTACAGTTGGAGTCCATAACTACTTTGCATGTATGTTAAACCTTGTTCCTTTTGCAAAATCTACCATCATAATAGCATTCCAGGTCAACATTCTCAAGATATCTATGAGGATTGCGGTCAAAAAAAGATATTTATGAGGATGACCTTTTCTTTTCACCAATAATATCAAATCAATTGACACTTGCATATTATGTTAAAGAACTAAATGCAATCTGAGAACATGCGTGCAAGGTAAATAGGAATATAGACTTCCTTCCCAAAATGAATAATACTAACCTAGTCCCTCAGGGGGGACAAAAGCACCAACTAAATTAATTGCTTTGAGAAGAGTATTTACAAAAGAAAAACACCAAAATATCGTGAGCACTTACATCTTCACCAATGGAAACAGCTTCTGGATAAAGCCCATGAATAAGATCGTTTACCAGCATTAGGTAAACTACTGCATCAACATCAGTGGCAAATCCAAAATACTCACCATAGTTCCCAGTGAATGCCACCTACAGTAAATAACAGCAATTTTAGAAAAGTCAAATATCTCTTTCATCATGTACAACTAAGGTAAGCTATCTTGGACTTGGTAGTTGGCCTAGGAGACATGATACATGTAATTATGCAGAGCAATTATTTCAGAAAACGGACAGCACAATGCAACCACTGGAGAACTGTGAAATCAAACTACCAGAATCATCTGGTAAACTTACTTGTAATCCATGGTGAGTATACATCATGGAGGTCACCCCATCAAATCGAAACCCATCAAACTTATATTCTTCAAGCCACCATCTTGCATTTGACAGCAGATATCTCAAAACCTGCACAAAACATAATGTTGCGTATGTATGTATGGAAAGATAAATAGGAACTATTAGCTAATACATTGTGCACATTACATACTTCCCAACTCCCATAATTGAATAGGCGAGAATCCCACATCCAATGATGGCCCCGTGGACCACCATGGAAGTAATGTGTATCAGTGCCATCGAAACCATTCAAACCGTCCAAGGTATTATTTGATGCATGACTGCAGGATACACAGAAATATTGGTAAATCTATGCAATTCAAAAGGACAAACCAATTGAGACATGGAGTATGTTGAGTTATCGTCTTATTGAGAATACAAAGGCCAGAATACGAATTTCAACTGGCTAAAGCAGGTGGATTTCTTAAAGCCCATTTGACTGCCTGTACAACTCTTCCGTAAAGATATTGGCAAGTGTCTACGTTGTGTTCCTTCTTTACGTCCCTTACGAGAAATATACCAAGTATGGATTAAGCTCTATGCAAACATGTGTAAATGGAATGAGGATGATAAGTGGCGCCTAGGACCATTTATCCATAAGAAACCAACTATACTTTCCCAACTCACAACTTCTGTGTAGCAGTGTAGCATCACCTAGAAAATTTCCAGGTAAATGAGTTTATTGCATCTGAGCTTCTCTGTCCATATGCACACCATCTGTGTGACTATTTATAAAGCAAGGTTCCAAGAAGTATCTACTCATAGGTGTCAAATACATTTAACTTCCAACTGAGTTAATACATCTAACAGAAAAATCAATGGTGCAATTCTACTGCATGATAAAAATAGGGCCATCCAACGAGGCAACCTATAAAAATAGACCCAGTCTAGAATAACTGAACAGACATACCTATGAACAATATCCATGAGCACTAGCAAGCCAAGCTCATGAGCTTTGTCAATCAGAGATTTTAGGTCGTCTGGAGTCCCAAAACGGCTACTTGGTGCAAAAAAATTTGTAACATGGTACCTGAAAATGGAAGTATACAGTAATCATATAAAGTAAGAAAACTAAGGATTGTTGTATGGCCTACGAAAATAATGAAGCAGATCCAAATGTTTATGTTTGTACAAAGCATTTAGGATGCAAGAGTTCCGATGGATGAAAAAAAAAACAGAAACAATGAAGAGAAATGGATGGATCATCCATTGAAAGTGTGAATACCCAAAGCTTGCATAATAAGAGTGTTCCTGGATTGCCATTATCTGTACTGCATTGTATCCAAGCCTTTTAATTCTTGGCAGCACCTCATCTCTGAAGTTAGCATACGTATTTATCTTTGGTTCCTGTGTAACAGATCATCTAAAATACTCAGTTTATCTCAAGTATAGATGATCATAGTTTCTAGTACTGAAACTTCAATTACCCAACAGAATGGTACAGACAATCACCCATAAGCTACCTTTATTTAAAATGGTCTTTCTTATCCTTACAAATAGTTTGCACAGCTTTCTATTCTGAAACTACTAACATGGCAATACTTATTACCACAAAGACAACATTCACATATAACTAGGTTCTGGAAACAACAAACCATGTTTTCCATTTATGTTAATATGGAATGTCTTTACGGAAAAAAGGAATTTGGAATCATGCAAGAAAATAGAAGAAGACCTGATATACACATATTATAATCTTTATGCAAATTAAGTTCCACATTAACCAATTTAAAGATGTACCAAAATCTGACTAGCTGCCACATGAATTCAATGTGTCTGAGAGAGTAGCTAAGTGAAGAACAAACAGAGAGCAGCTAAGTGAAGAACAAACAGCTTTTCTTCCTTTCTCTTTTGCAGAAGAAATATGAACAATTGTATGTTAAAAATATTACAGAAGTGGTACGGACTACAAGGGACTAAACAATAAACACAGCAAAAAATAAATAAATTATAACTTATTGGCATACCGGGCTACTCATTCCAACATGTGATTCGTATATCCGCAGTGACTTTGGCCGCTTAGGTTGAGGGTGTTTGAATACATATTTCTCCTGCATTGTGCATGAAAAAAACCCTTAGTAAATGGTCATAAAAAGTTTAAAACAGAGAAGCGAACCAAAAAAAGAGTAAGTAGACATCTCTAAGAGGCTCAAGTGGAACAAAGACACACAGAATCCTTTCCACTAAGAAGACATATTGTATGTGTCACTACCAAAATTCAAAATATTGTTCTGTATCCACATGCTATAAGAAAGAAGTTGAAAATAAAATGATACTAAGCAGTGGTAAGCATCAAAACCAATGCTATTAAAAATGCAAGACAAAAACTAGAGCATATACCTCTTCAGGTGGATCATAATATATACCATTGTATGGTATTTCACCTGGAGCCTGCACAGAAAACTTGATCCACGCAGGAATGGAATCCTTCACACCAGATGGTGTATCCATCCGTATCTAGAAACAATAGGAAGGAGAAAAAAAACAAGTCCCTTTAGCAGACACAATCTGAAGAATGCTTTCGCTCCCAAACTAACCAATCAGAAAAATCCACCTTTACACGTGAGCCATGAGGAATAGCAGGGGAACCATCAGCATTATTAGGCAGGAAAATCTCCCAAACGCCATACTCATTCTAAAAGTGATAATTCCATATATCAGGATAAATAGAAAAAAACAATACTTATCAAATGGAAATGTGTTTGTATGCAATGAAACCTCATCAGCTTATCTCACATTAAAATGTGCAAAAATGTTCTACTGATCATTAATAACACAACCACATCCATGCCACCTTGCATCAATTTTTGGATTTAGGATTAAATGATATGATGGTTGATTGATGGTTAAGCAGAAGTATAGAACCAAGGAATCAGTGCATTCATTGTACTGAATTTATACAATATTGTTAATCTGAGAACTTCAGGCTCAACTTGAAGGAATGTGTGAACAAGTCAAATAGACACAGTAGATGAAATATATCAACAATTACAAGGCAAACACGGAATATCGCAGAACTGTAGACATACTCTGGTCATAGCATCAGCATTTGGATTCCAGTTGTTGAAGTCACCTACTAATGCTGCAGACTGCAGTAAGATGTAAGAATCAGTTCTTAAATCTTAATGAGTTGATCAGCAAGATAAACTATCACTTTGAAGAGAATCACGATATTCGTGTGAACTATCTATATAAGTCTTGTGCACAAGGTCTCAAGTGAACCATGAACATTATCAAGTGTTAAAAAGTTGATTGCCAAGACGTGCTGAGACATACGTATGCTCCAGGAGCCCATTCTCTGTAAGTGATACCTTCAGCGCTGGAAAAGGAAGGGGAAACAAGTAATAAATATTTGCTCATATGATGTCCAGTTTACTAAAAAGAGCATATTCATGTGGCTGTAAATTTACCTGCGAGTAAATCCAAGCTTTTCGTACCCGCGTGAAAATGCATCCAAACCACCTTCATGTTGATCAATAGCCGCACGCATTCTCTTATATTCACTGTATCTGTTGAATCCACCAAGGCAAACCAAGCAAAAAATGACAAATTTGCACTTTTCCCAACAAAAGCAATAAATATTGGAGCTCAACTTGTCCAATTGTTGGCGCATCGGTAGAGTAAATTGCACACCCCGCTTACCAGTTACACATTCTTGTCAGTTTAGTTGCTCTGTTTGAATAATGATAAGCAGCGATGAAAGTAATTTATATTGCATTATGAGTTTCAAATATAGAAGTTATGTTTTTCAGTCATTAATTCCAAACTGCTTTCTAATACAGCCACTGATGGGATAAGTCTCTATGGTCTTTGTGGGGCTGCAACAATTGCTGCCCAGCATCTTGACTGGACAACATCTTAGAGGCATCTTAGGACAGCATCTTAGAGGACAGCATATTAGCATCTTAGACTAGCATCTTGGCATATGCTTGGTTGGCTAGCAGCCTATAAATATGTATCCCCAACCCCTCAGGTTGATATGGCATTGAGAAATAAACCAGAAAAATGCTCCAACTCCTAGTGTCATCCTCTCTCGATGAAAGTAAGAATTCTACTAGTACCAAGAGTAAGAATTCAGCGACTAACAAACACAAAACCATGATGAATGATCCCATTAAGAGGGGAGCATGATTTCAGCAGCTTAGCTCAGGGTTAACAGCTTACCGGTAGTCAAGGTGGCCCCGAAACCCTTCCAGCATTGGGTCAATCTCATATATTCGCTGACCATCTCCTGGTGGGGAGATAACTCGTGGTTTCTCCTCCACGAGTGGTGCTTTGGCTTTGATGGCTGCCTCAACTTCGGAGCTTGCTTCAGCCGCTGCTGAGGTTGCTTTAGCTGCTGATGAGTATGCCTTCTCCTCCACAACCAGTTCTGCGTCAGGTACCTACATCAAAGAAATAGATAAGTTGTATATAGACCAGCAGAAATAACCAAAATGGTGTATTCCTTAGTGATCTTCTTGCTAGGTGTAGGTGGGATCACAAGCTAACATGTCAGTAGCCCAAGAACCAGCACGGTGTCCTAACCAACAATGCACGAGGCTTTGCACAATGCCTGATATGAGGAGCGCAAAAGCTGACCACCCCCCATAATTTGATTTCATCAGACATTTGGGCAAGCGTATCATCATGAAGGCACAGAAGGGGGACAATCGAACCTGTAGTTCTTCATGCTGCTCTGGAGTGTCCACGACAGGTTCCGCGGAGGAAAGCAAGTCATCACTGCCACCTCCAGGCACCAGCACCTTTCCAGGAGCACCAGCGCAGCTCACAACGGTACCTGCAATTTCCAAAGCCAGCTCCACTGATAAGAACTGAGAAAATAACACCACCAATTTCGTTCCAGGCTGCAACGATTGAGAAAACAAAATAGGAAGAAAACGAGGAAACGCATTGGCTCAGACGTTGAAACGATCGCTGTAGCAACTGGTAACACTAACGCATATTGGCGTAACAAAATGCAGGTTCCAGGTTCAGGAACCGCGCTCGATCGCTTCCACCGGTCGGAATGCAGACATAGGAAAAAAAGAAAAAGTATGCGTGCGCGTATGAGAATCAGAACCACTCAGGATCCAGGGCACTCCCTCTTGAAACCAGCAAGCACATACGCATACGCCACACGAGTGCAGAGAGAGAGAGAGAGAGAGAGAGAGAGAGAAGCGAGGAGAGCCGGCGACCGACCGACTAAGAATAGAGGGGGAGGGGGCAAGAAGCGAGAGCGAGCCGTACGAGAGAAGGCGTCCTTCCTCCTGAAGAGCACCGACGGCAAGTCCACCCCACTCCTCCGCTCCCCGCCAGATCGCGCCGAGCCGCCGGGCCGCACGACCCCGAGCCTCGCGCCCGCGCCGGACACAGCGAACGACGCCATCCCGCGCGCACCCAGCCGCAGATCCGAGTCGAACCGCCCGCACGTACGCACCCACGCGAAGCGAGTGCGCGCGTGGAGAGGAGTGGCGGCAGCCGAGGCCGAGGAGGAGCGGCGCGAGATATTATTAGCCCGCGGCGGGAGCGAGCAGGGCTGGGGACTGGGGAGGGAAGGAGTGCTGGAGTGGGGGAGCAACGTGTGCGGCCGAGGTGGAAAGCAGTGGCGCTGCATGGGGATGGGTGAGGGAAAAAGCCAGCAGGGTGGGGGCCCGCGCCGGTGGTGGCAGCGGACGGACGGAGACACGTGCCGTGGGAGTGGGGCAGCAGCGGATCGCGAACCAACGGCTGGGAGCGCGTTCCCGGCCATCCGTTGAGTAGGCCTGCCGCTAGCACGCTACCGCCTACCAGTAGTCCAGTACCAGTAAAGTCCCGTAAGCTACTGGCTCTCCGTTTTTCTCTGGGAGGGGAGGCTCGCTCGTAAAAAAGGTGATGTGCTTAGCTCCTTCGTTCACAAGAGTCACGGCTATTCGCGCCATGTTTCCATCATTGCGTTCATGTCGCCTGGTGACGGCGATTGCTCGTGCCCCGTAGACCGTGTGTCGTGCCCTGGCGTTCGCTATCGTGCCCCGTCTATTAGGTTTCTAGACTAGACGAATTTGCTTGGATGTTTTTGTCCGCAGGTGGAAAGATCTTCCAAGAGACTAGAGGGCGATCGTCCGAGCGAATGAAATGAAGGGAGCATATTCTCATCCCTTGTGGGATTTAATGCGTATCCTTAGCATCACGAACGGGAATACGAAATGTTCCCAGCATTTTATATTTGATTTCATAAAAAAAAAGATCTGCTATATTTTAGGTGTCTGAAATATAGCAGTTGCTCAGGCGACATATTCCAACTGTCAGATTTGAATGTAACGTCCAGGTTCTGTCTTGTTCTGTTTATGTTAAGCAAAATCGCCTCCATTTCTTGGGATCCCCCGATTCCTCTCCTACACTACATATGCGCTTTCAGAAAACAGTGTCCGAAAGAGAAAACCAGTCAAGGTAAGTAGCGACACCACGAGGGATGAGTACCTATGAGGTTACAGCACTGAGTTTTTTACGGCATGAATCACATGTCATCCGAACAAAAGAAGAATTTCAGGTGACTGATGCAAAGGAAAGGTGTAAAAAAACATGGTCAAAACCTCATGCTGTAACCTTTAAACAAGACTACTTCTATAACAGCGAGATCTCACTCACCACGGCGGACACAGGAATTGAAAATTGGGTGTAAGGTTATATATATATATATATATATATATATATATATATATATATATATATATATATATATATATATATATATATATATATATATATATATATATATATATACACCCATGCTGAATCAAACCATTGTGGCATATGTAAAGCTAAATGTCCATCAATTCAAAGCAAACAGTACTAGAACTAGAGCAGAGTACATTAGTATAATTAATTAATACATACAATATTTTTTAAGTCTCAACTAATAAAGGAACATTACAAATTTATTCGACGAGGCGGCTTTTGAAATCAAGAGATGATGTCTTCATCAGCAACACATAGAAAAAATTGCTTCTCAATGAATGTAAGTAAGCAATCATTCAAGTACTGATCCCCATGCTATTTCTTAGCTTGTTCTTTATGAAGTTCATCGCTGAAAATACAACCGGTAGCAATAGGACTAATTTCAGAAGCTTGTAAACATATGAGTGTAAGACATGCTTATTTGTTTCAACAAGCAAAACTGAAAGCTCGGCAATACTTTTCACTTTGCTAAATCTTTCATCACCATGCATATCAACAATAAAGTTACCAAGCTGATAGGTTTTATTAAGCTATCCTTGTCAAAAGAAACCTCAAGCACTTAAGTGAATAACTCAAACGTGCTTTGTACATAACTTTCTCTTCTATGGTTCGCTTCACTAAAGTGTTTGCTATTGATGTTCCAATTATAGAGAAGGAATCAAATTTCTCTTTGAGCTAGACGGTGTGACTTGCAAGCAGCATGCTTATCAAATTTACTTATATGATTCCAAAGCCTAAAGCCTCCATTCACAAAACTATTCCCACCTTTAACTATTTTATTCTTGAACAAATAGCAAATAAAGCAAAATGCAGCATCTAGTTTTACACTGTACTCAAGCCAACCATATGTATCAAACCAACTATGTACAAAGCGACGTTTACCTCCAATATCTTTTTTTTTGGAAAATCATGTCCTCGAGGTTGACTTGCCCCAATGCAATATATCCTTTTCTCACATCAGCTTGATCATTAGGATTATAACTTGATATGGTAATCCTCTCCCCAGGATCATGTGGAAGCCATAACATCATAAAATGCCTCTTCATTGATATCATAATCATCAATTTCATTATCAATTCCCCCATGTTGATCTTCTTGTATTACCGCTATTGGCACTGCATCTCCCATAACTTGAGGCTCTATGCTTGCTACCTCGGGTTCCACTACATCTCCCATAACTTCAGTCTCTTTGCTTGCTACCTCTGGTTTCACTGTTTGCAATATCGGCGTCGAGTTACTAGCTATAGATGGTTTTGTTCTCTTTGCTGCTCTAGTCCACAAAGACTTCAAATCAACAACTTTTAATCTCTTTACTTGACTAAATCCCTACAATTAAATATATATATGCTTAATTAAATAAATATGAATCAATTGCAAATTTGCAACAACCAATCAAAGATGAACTAATACTATCTACTAAGGGCTAGATGTCTAGAACACCAACCTGTGATGGTTGTGGCTCTCAACTTGCTGTTTGAACTGTTGCCACTGCGTCTGCATGTGGGTGCGGCGCCGGCGCGGCTTGCTCCATCTTGTCCTCGATGACTGCGGTATCTTCCCCCAATCCGGTCGTAGCCTCCGCTTCAGACGCCTCCGCGCCGGCCATGGGTTCTTCTAGGCGCATCTCGTCTTCAGAGCTCAGATCCGCGCGACAGCGACCGGCACCTGGTGGTGCCATAAGCGACGGCGCAGCACAAGCGAGGAACTACGAAGGAGATTTTTTTTTGTTCGAGTCGATGCAGCAGGGGGCGACGAGCACTGGAGCCTAGAGGCGACCACGGTGCTCTGGTTCCCTTCGTGACTTTTCTTCTTGGGCTAGCAGGCCGGCCCAGCTAGATGGTGCACGGGAGGAGGCAAGAAACTGGCCTTTTAACACTTTTTGATCAAATATACAGAGTTTGGTCTACTTACATGTATTATACATGTATATACATACAACCTATTCATTTCGGCTGAATTGACTTATAAGCCATGGCTGAAAGTACTGCTGGTTGGTTTGGTGTGAGAGAAAAACATTGTTCAAGCCGTGGATTATAAGCCAGATACGAGCGAATAAGCCGAAACAAACAGGCTGATAGTAGCTGTAAATTTTTTCTCAAAATTATTAGGTGTACAGATGTACACAAAATTATTAGCTGTACAGATGTACACCCATGTACACCTATTGCGTCCGCCCATGCTCACCACTGTCATCTTGCCTAATGCACAAATTTTAATTACTTATTATCATTCAATACTAGAAAGCGTGCAACCATGCAACCCAAACATAGGCCCCGTTCGTTTCGCTGAAAAAATAAATTGAAATATTATTTCGACTGATTTATTATGAAAGAAAAATATTATTTTAACTAAAAAAACAACCTGAAAAAGACGAATATAGTTTAATACATTAATCACTCGTTGATACGAGGGAGATTTTTCTATAGCTTGTCGACTGGTGCTGACTAGTAGGGGATGATAGGAACCGTCTCAAACTTTTTCAGTCCCTATCGGTGATCGCTTTCTGTCGCCCGGGCACATCGCCGCACAGTATCAGAAACAAACGGACGAAAAGGCCCGGCCGGGGTACGATGGGGCCTACGAGCAGCCGCGCTCTCCTCCTGACCGTCAATTCGGCCGAGCTGATATTTCGCTGATCTACCGCCAGAAATTTTCACGGCGCAAAATGGCAAGCGAGCCTGCACCGTGCTCCGTGCACATGCCCCTCCCTTCCAAATCTATCGATCAAGAGAGGGACAGCATGTCATCACACATCATGTTACAATAGGAAATGTGCTGACGTGTAAAAGAAAAGTTTTGGTGATGTTCGTTTGTCTTATAGTTCGTACTTCTCAACTTGTTTTTTTTCGTTGAAACAGTGTTTTTCTCTCACAACAAATCAGCTGGAACAGTATTTCGACTTATTTTTCTAGTGAAGCGAACGGGGCCATGTCATAAACTCACACAACTAACAAGTATGTAAAGTTTATTGCTCTACTAGATAGCATGCCCGTATGTTGTTATGGGACAACTAAACTTTTATACTAAAAACACACGGATCACACAATAAGATAACAATACTGTCTGACAAAATCATTCCCGGTCCAATATGATGTTCAGCCCGTGCGTTGCTACGGCTTTTTAAATTCACACGATCCTATATATTTCAGCTAATACATATATGAAAGAAATGACTTATGTGCACCATGGTTTTGATTTGAGTACATGCGTAGGCAACAGTTACACTTTGTATAGACAAATGTTTTACAAGAACAGCTTGTAGTTCACTTCGCTAAGCACCACCTTAGAAGCCAATTATTGTCCACCATCAATACCTAAGCTGTTTAGATTGCAGGGAGATATGACCTTTGTGAATTGCAAATGGTCAAGTAAGTCCAATCTGTAAGCTACGATCTTTTTACCTAGACCATGATCAATCTCTACAACTAAATCTACTAAAAGCAATTGACTTATAAAAATGGCCCAGTAAATCCAATAGGAACCCATGCAAGGGCAAAACTGTTTCTTGAAATGTAGCAATTTACATCCGGAACATGCTCATTCAGCTTTTCTCTTCTTATTTTCATCACTTTTTTTTTATTTGCACCCACCAATGGACAGATATTACATACATGCAAATTTGAGAGGGCATCACTGAGACTGACGGAGCTAACATATGTTTTGAACATTCAG